TTCCTCATGGGGACATTGGCGTCAAAACAGGTGTTGAGGCAGATGGGATATGTGAGTGATGCTTCATGTGCGCATTGTGGTGACGTGGAAAATGCTTTCCATGTGGTGTACTTTTGTCCTTTTTTGGAAAATGTAAGGGTGTGGTTGAGGGGTGTTTTTGGATTATTGGGAGGGGGAAGGGTGTGGGTCCTTAGGGCTTTACTTTTAGATGTAGGAGTGTCTAATGAGGTAGCAAGGGTGTTAAGATACATAATGGTTGATTTTTTGTATGTTGCTTGGGGAATGAGGGAGGTGGGGGGGGGGGTAATGTCGGGATCAAGGCCTTAGTGGCGAGTTTTTATAGGTCGGTGGGTAGGAATAGGAGCTTATATGGGGGTCAGTGGGTTGCTCTTTTTCTGGAGAGTTATCGGGGACTGACTATGGCACGACTGCTACAGTTGGTGCCGGGGAAAGGCAGCAAGGGGTTGGTTTCCGGAGGAGAGCAATTAGTACTTGGAGATGATTGTAATAAGGAAGAGAGATGGTGGCTGCTCCAGTGGTGTATGTGAGTTAACGTGTAAGGCCGGTCTGTGTCTGTGCGAGTCTGTGTGTGAATCTGTGTGGGGTGGGGTGTTCTGTTATTGAAATGGGGCTTCTGTGAGGTGGAGTTTTTTTTTTTTTTTTGGCTAAGATTTTCTTGCTTCTGTGGGTTCGCCAAAGCGTCCTTTCGATACTTTTCAAAGACGGACCAAACTGAAATTTTTAGGAAATAATGAGCTAAGAATTATTTGTTGTAAAAGCTGTGGGGTTTGTTTTTGTTGCCCCAGAGACTAATGTTATGATTCCTATCCTTTTTAACAACTGTAGTATGGGCGAGGTGCCTGCATGCACCAGGCTCGTGTATTTCCTGTATATTTAACTCTGTCAATGTTAGATGTTCTGTGTACGAGAGTGGGCATTGTACATTGCCCTATTCAGTATTTCTTCCTGTTTGGAAGTTAATGAGGTAGGAACGTATATACACGCTGATTAAGGGTATATTTAACCTGTTCATACTGGTACCTTGTGGGTGATGGGAGGAGGCACACATCTTGGAAATTTTTTTTCTTATTTATTCTAGAGTATGCAAAGTTCCATATGTGTATTTGGGTTATATGGGGTGTGGGGAGTACGATTTAGTCTCCTCGAAAACATTGTCAGGGGGTTTTAGTTTTCGAGAATCTTTGTACGTAATGTTACTATACAAAACAATTGTATGAGAAATGATTTGGTTTATACTTTTTGTATATATATATAAAAGTTTTATGTATAACAAAATGTAGATTGTATAGTGTCCTCAAATAAAAGTGTAAAAAAAAAAATATTAAAACTGGCTACTGTGATAAATTAAAATTGTATGGACTATATTTTGGTTTACTTTCAGAGTACACAAAATATAGCTAGTACAAAACATATACAATTGTCTTATTAAAGAAATTCATTGCCACTTGCCATTTAATTATTAGATTACAATTTTTATATGAAACACCCTTATGCTACCTTAATATATAGTTGGATACCCAGAGCAAAATTACTGTACATTATAGGTAAGCATCACTTACCTAAGGCGTGTTGCTGGGAAAAATAGTGCCCTATTTTTTCACCCTTGTAGCCATATTGTAAGGGTTTTTTCATGCTATTTATCTCTATTCTTCAGTGGGAACGTATCTGCAATTTCTGAATTAGATTAAGTTCCATACACACGAAATTAACTTCGATGATGCCCGATTACAATGCACAATTAACATACCAGTGTTTACACATTCAGTCGCTACAGCGTCCTCGTCCGTTCTGCGGCTCTTCCACATCTCCCCTCACTCGAAATTTCTCTAAGGGTCAAATCAGTATCACTCTTCAAGCAATTGTAATCAAATTTACCCATGCTGAATTCGGGAAAATTCAAAGTTTTCCATAGCTTGGTTAAGAATATTCTGGCAGTCCCTAGAGTAACACCTTATGTATGACTTCTTTTGAATACCGTCCACACCATGATAACGTGATGTATCTATATTAATTACCTGAACTGTAGGTCATACAGTGCCTGGGAACTAAATGTAATATTGTGATCAAAGAGTAGGTCAAATTTCTTTAATTCAGTCCTTTTTCCAGCATAGTCCCTTTTTCACTGGTTATAGCTTACATATTACATAACAGAAAATAACAAGAATCGGATCACTTTAGTGTGCTATCACGCAGAATTATTCATCGACTGGTGCAATGTCCGCAAAGTTATGCTGTGCAGCACATGCCAGGGGCGATGGGTACACCGTATTTCAAACGGGTTTAACTCCGCCAGCTGCTGGCGAGTTGAACTCCGGCAGGTCTGAGTTCCTAGAATCTAGATACTACCATCTATCATACTGGTTTAACTTCTAAGATATAAAAATTAAAATATACTGAAGTTCTCAACTCTATACAGTGAAGTATATTATTAGGTACATTGAACATGTGTAGCCTATATTTTAATTTGCATTAAATGTATGAAGCTAAATACTCTAAATATTACTTGCATTCATGAATAAAAGATAACGTCTAGAGGATTATGCAACACCTGGTACAGTGGATGGTGATCTCTCGGAGAAGGTAACTAAAATTTACTTAATGAAAATTACTGTATTAACACATCTCTGTAGGACAGACGTCGTCACCCTCCATTTGTACACATTCTTCCGAGAGCATTAAATTTTTTATTGCACATACACCTCTAACAGAGTAAGCTGGTGTAACATGTGAAACCTACGGACGTGAATTTTAATTCTATAACCATGAAATAAGTTGGCAAGAACGTAGAAAGAAAAATATAGCCTATGATTTTAGAGGTATTCTCGTATGTTACTACGCAATTTTATTTTAGTATAATTTCCAGGTGTGCCTCTAACTAGAATTACGTCGTAACTTCCTATGAAGATGATTGCCTCTGCGATCATATTCCTAAACTTCCTGATGGTAGCAACAGCTTTAAGATTTGCAGGTACGTGGTGACATGTTCTATGGCAACTAAACTATAAAGTGACGTTTCTCAAAGATGGCACGAAAATTTAATTATATATATATATATTTGAAATCTTAGATTTTGGTAAAATTTGATAAATATCAGCTGCATGCAAGGAAATTTAAAATTTCGAAAGCTAATTAACTTTCGAATATCAGTAAAATTCAAATTTAGCTTCTCTTGCAGTTAATCTGTATTGAAAGTGACTTTCAGAGGTCAGGGAATATTGCAGAGGTCAGAAGTGTAATCTGTGATACAGTGGTAGCAGGTTAAATCCTTTATTATCGCCCAAGGCTGGACTTTATTATGAATAAACAAAAGAGCATACGAAGAACCTGAAAGGTAGGTTCTTACACAGGGTAAGGTCAGGTAGTGTAGATAGGCAATGACAGGACTACCTTTTTATTGTATGAATCAGTGTGGGCAAAGGGTTTAAATAACTTTTTTTTTTTTTTTTTTTTTTTTCTCTCTTCCTTCCTTGCTCGTGTTGGTAAGGTGGACTATTTCTAAAATTCTGCACTTGGGGCCCGTCTTCCTCGAGACACAACTGCTGGTTTTTTTTTTTTTCCTTCCTCCATCCTTTTATCCCTTTTCCCCCTCACTACGCGTGCGTTATTTTGCAGACTTGATATACCTGATGAACTGATTAAGTTGTATACCTTCATAGAGAGAGAGAGAGAGGAGAGAGAGAGAGAAATTTACGATCTTGGTTTGTCGGTTAAGTTTGGGAACAATAATAGGAAAAGAACTTCCGATGAATTTTATTGACTTAAGACTCTGGGAGACTGACACCAGTCAGTCCATCTATCATTGTCATGCAGGAGCAGCCACACGTGTCTGGTGTATCCAACATAAGCCGACTCTTGGATGTCACTACCGCCCGGCTCCGGTTAATTAAATCGCCACGACCAGATGTAGATCAAACGAAATGTAAACTTTGCCAGATGGACAAATGTCATAACTTGCGTCATTTTGTACTGGAATGCGATAAAGAATTAACGAATTCAGAAAACTCGCTCAGAAACGTTCAAATTGTGTAAGTATTTTATCCACATTGGTATATTGCAAACCATTCTGACTTTGCTCACTGTAAATAAAGTATTACCGCTTTTGTGTGGTGGGGGGGGGGTCCTAATTAATATCTGCATAAATAAGTGACCAGATAAACATTTAATTCATTATCATTGTAACTCGTTCAGCTATCAAAATTTTTTCGGTCCAGCCCCTGGACCTATTTTGTACCTTTAATATTTTTACTACCAACCATAGAATGGGTGTGGGGTACACGAGATATTAAATTACTGAAGGGCTCGGCCAGTCTCGTAATTCATCGCAACCGCTAAAGTCTGTTGCACAATAACTCCGGGTCTAGGGTTTCTGGTAGTCTTGGTGGTAAGGACTTCCACGTCCAAGATGAGTTTTCGGAGAAGGGGGGCGAAGGTGATGCACTCTACCCTGGGGAGGAAGACCAGTCTATGTATGTTGATAGCCTCTTCGCGTGTACTGCTGAGGAAAGCTTTATTTACAAAGTGGATAATGTGTAAATCTGTGGGTAACGGTGTCCTGGAGTTTACCTGGAGAGTTTCGGGGGTCAACGCCCCCGCGGCCCGGTCTGTGACCAGGCCTCCTGGTGGATCAGCGCCTGATCAACCAGGCTGTTGCTGCACGCAAACCAACGTACGAGCCACAGCCCGGCTGATCAGGAATATTTTACAGTAAAAATCCTGAATGCTGAGAAATTTTCAAAACCTTAGTTTTGAAACATGTCGAAAAGTAATAATTTCTGAGTTTTAAAACATCTTGATGAAAGATTCTAGTTTGATTATTGTAGTGTTCGCTGGTGTTGTGCTTTAACATTATAATTGCCCTCGTTCCCATTTTGAATTATGCACTCAAGCAAAGAGCCTTCGTATACTACACAAAGATAAGCGATAGAAGACTGGTCCTCCCCACAGGACAAACTTCCCTACACTCTTTCCGATGCCCCAACATGAACATAGCAGTCCTCACTGAAACTATAAAAAAGTCCCAGACAGCCAGCCAGACTACATATGGAAATGTACATCATTACGGTACGTAGCATACGCTAATTGTTATGTACACCTCGTGTACTCCTTCAGGAACACGTACACTTGCACGATTACTACAGCGCATGCGTATCCCATCGTCCTTGCATTTTCTATCCACGACACTGGTACAAAAGGGCACTAGCAAAATACCGACTACAAAGCCCAGAAATTTTAGCCACGATCCACCTAAAAAAGTTATCTAAACCCAGTTCCCTATATTCGTGAAGTTAACACAAACCTCTGTTAAATCTCCTTGACTCTACTCTCGCTATACTTGCTCTCTCCTTGATAGGTCTAAGAGCCAGACCTCAAGGTGCTTGTATACCTTTAGAAGGCAGTGTATTTTAGTTTTTTCTCTTTAATATTCCATTCTAGGGTGAATCGTGGTATGTTTAACATGCCCAATTTTCACTTTTCGACATGCAATATACTGACCTAGTACTAATTTTCAAATCTTTGACTAAATATGTTAGACTAGGAACTTGAAGTGACGAAAAAATCTGAGGCTTCGTGGCGAGTTGAATGACTATCAGTGGGTCAAAAGTTTTAGGGGTTTTCTCCCTTTTTCTTTAATTGTTGCTCTTATTCTAGCTGTATCTGGTAAACTTAAAAAAAAAAAAAAAAAAATTTAAAGACCAGCGGGACTGCACAGCCCTGTCCTCGTGCCCTCATAAGGAAAAGCTACAGCCAATCTGGCACCAGTCTTGGAAATCCTGCCAGAAAAATGTCTGAAGATTATCTGCGTAAACGGATTGCGACACCACGACTCTACCACGGAGGGGAAAACGTGCGGATGTAAGTAGATTGTAGACGATCAATCTTTCTGTACTTTACTTTTGTGCCTTACTAATGAAAAATGTTCATTTGAAGTGACTATTCTTCCGACAGTTAATGGATTAAAAGTTCATTTCCTTTTAAGTACCTGTTTGTTTCATTGTATATTGACAAACTTAGACTTTTTATGGAGAATCTATTTCACCGGGTTTACTCTTCCCAGGTTGTGAGTTCCGGGGGGCGCTCTACCCCCCAGGTAAAGTCTTCCTGGCTGGCTGCGTTAAGATGGCCTGTGAAGACGGAAGGTGGAAACCATCTGGAGAGATAGAGAAGAGATGTGAGTACTGAATGGAGGAACGAGTAGTGTGAACTGTTGGAAAGGTAAACCCCTTGTGGATTCTGTGCGCCAATTTCAGACCGATCTGACAATCCATTGATGGTTCTACTTGTGAGGGTACTTTTGACCTTCACAAATAAAGGCTGTGTTCCTGAGCCTCTATAAATACCTTCTTAATACTTTTCACTGCGATGATCGAGCAAAACAAATTTTCCATTTATTTTACTAGTTCTGATAGTATAGCTGATGGGTAATATTGTCAATAAGAACAAGACTAGAAAGTTAGGGGATGGCAAAGGATTGGGGGAGGGGGGGGGGTTGAAGGTTCCACAAAAAACTTTCCAAGTTTACCTCGCTTTCATTTACCTGGTCAGGTAAGCAGTGTGAAGTATTCAACGATCCTCACTTCTTCAGCTACGACCGCCACAGGTTTGACTACCACGGAGACTGCAAGTACCCTTTTACCCGAAGGGCCAGCGTGATCCTGATAGGGAGTTTCGCCCGTTCCATGAGTATATGCGTCTCCTAGGCATCTTTCATACCATTTAGAAAAAGGGGGGGAAAATTATTACCCGAGGCGGGAAAGAGGTGAGACTGAGTAATTTATATTTTTCACCGACGTTTTTACGGCTTCCTTCCTGCATACCCCCCCACCACCTTCAAAGGGCAAACCGAAGCTTTTTGACGAGCTAGCACATCAGGACTTCTCCCCCCCTAACATTTTTAAAGGGATTTCTTTTTTTGCGCAGTACTGACAAATTGGATAAATGTGCATGACTCTTGGATAACTCAATCCTGGGGAAAGGGCGCTGATACTTGGGCGTTGTAGCCTACTAGACTTCTAGGTCTGTACATGGTAAGTTTGGGAAAGATATGCAATCTGTGGGGTGACAGTCTGGGGATGCTTTTGTACTGCACAAGCTGTTTTCCCCAGATCAGACGCCCGTGTGTAACACCCTGTTTTTAAAAAAACCGTAGATTCTGGTAAACGGTCAGATTTGTGTACCGAGGGCTCTCGCCAAAAGAAACATGACGGGGGAAACCCAGGATTTTTTCGCCCGGCGCCAAGGAGATGTCTTGAATGCTAGGCTCTCAAGGGGTATTTGTATTAAGAAGCTACTTCAAAAAGCCCTTTAAAAATTTTTAAAAGAATGTTGGTTACTTAATATTCTCTATATGACAGTATTGGGATACCCCTTTTAGGTATACTAAGTAGAATACAGCTGCTTGGATCAGAACGAGGCTTGGCAAAAAACAGCTTCCCTTCCTGGGCCCCTATTTTTATCAAAAAGCTTTTTCAGATAGTCTCTCCTTACTTAAAAACAACTATATTACAATCATCCCCGGGGTCCCCACACCTTTGCACCAAAGTTATCTGCTGACAAAATCAGCCCTTGCTTAGAATTATCACTTTCATTTTTACCCAGTACTTTCCGGATTTTTTAAGCATCTCTTTAAATTTT